ATAGATTGGTTGAAACATTGTGGTAACAAGAAAAAGAATGAGTTCAATAATCTGAGGATGGTAATGACTCTTTTCAAAATTATAAAGTTTTTTGTTGCTGGACAATTTGTTGAATTAAAATCTATTAATATAATCTTTTTGTTAATGTCATACATTGCTCAATGATCTTAACATTCTAATATTTAAATTTTTAAGGAACTTAATTCTCACAGACAAAAATTTGAAAGCAAATTTATATGAATAAAGAAGCAATATTTTCTATTTAAAACTTGAAATATCTTGTTTCACTTGAAAGGATCTTAACAGACACAATAGCAAGTACAACTCATAACAAATTGTTCATTTTATTAACAAATATTCAGATATTGGTAACTTTTAAAACTTGCAAGTTGAAGTGTTTTTGGGTTTTTTTTTATTCACTTTTTATTTTACATGAGATGTGATAGGTGGGTGATCTTTAATTATCCATCAATTCAAAAATGAAGGCAAATTTGTTTACAAAAAATTGCTTCTGAACTCTTTCTTGATTCAGAAAAAGATTCATTGGAATTAAGAAAAACTATATTAGCAGTGCATTTTGTATGGAATTATTTGTGTGATAGAAAATTACATTCTGCATTTATTGATGCTGACAAATTAATCTTTTATATTAGCTTTATTATTTTCAATATAAACCTGCTCAAGAGAAGTATATTTTTTGTATACTAGATTTGTGTCAAAATAAACATACAATGAAGAAAACAAAATTTTAGCAAATGATTTCCTAGGATACAGTAAATCTTATTTCATGTGGGTAGTTTTTTTAATTATAATTTTTGATCTTCTCCCTATAAATCAAAGATTTATGAGGAGCCTGTAAAGTCCACCCACATTTCATTCAGTAAAAATAACCACTTGGAACATTATAGATATGAAACAGTTTTTCTTTTTAAAATATATGTATTTAGGAGTTAATATTTTATCAAATGTAATCTAATTATTTTGTCAGAACTGGACAGATCTTTTTACACAATAGAACATTATTGATTTTCACAGAATGATATATTAGACAGTAAAAGAATAATTCTTTGAAACTCTAGTGATTGTTATCAATTATGATAATGAAATGGCATTGCTTGCAATCCCCATTCCAACAAAAAATAAATTCATGTGATTGCATGTTGACATCTAAAACTATTCTTATTGAACTACTGTACCACATGGCTGCATTTACATTTTGGATTTAATGCACAGAATATATTTTTGAAGAGAGAAATACCTATTTTTTTTTTTTTCTTCTGTTCTTCAACAATTTTATGATAAATATTTTGCAAATGTCTAGTTTGACGTTCAGAGATTTTTCTTCTGTGAAGGACAAAATATAAATTAAGACAAGTGACTGAAATGTTTGTTTCTCATCTGTATAATCTTTATTCTATCCATTCATCAGTATTGGAAGTATTCTCACTTTTTAATCTGCTCAAGATTACCTTTATTTTTCCTGTCATTTTTTTTTTTTTTTTGCATCAGACATGTCATCTACTTTCTTTAGTTTCCTTATCTACATTCCCCAAAATAAACTATCATTATTCTATAATTACTGAAATGTCATGTAAATGTATATTTATTGTAAAAGAAGAGATTTGTCTGTTACTTTGGTGAATGGGACATGATTGAATCATAAGTAAGATCAGCTAAAAATAAGAAGACAGATTTCTATTCTTTCAACCCTTTTGTGAAATGTTGTGATAAATATCTATCTTTACCATTGTCTTCCATCTTCATTAGTTTCTCCTTTAGCAAAATGATTCAGGAAGTTTTTTTAATAATTTTTTTTTTTAATAATTACTATCTTGAGACACAATTTATTTTGGAACACCTTTAATGATGCCATGATGTCAACTCTATACTTGTGACATCTCTACTAAACACTGAAATTTTTTTTCTTTTCTCAATAGGAGTAGGTAGGTTTGTCTATTGTCTGTTTCACACAACACCCTGTTTTTTTGAACAGGAATGAAGATTTATCTCCTGTTTCCGGTTTAGAATTGGGTTTCTGGTTCTTTTTGAAGACTTATCCTCATTCTTGCATCTTAGTGGCATTATCACCTTGCTTGGGGTAAATTGATATATATATATATATATATATATATATATATAATATATATATATAATATATAGTAAAATCTCTTTCAGTATTTTATTGTGGTGACTGACTAAATTTCTGATCTCAGTGCATATATGGACAACCTGACTATTATAACATCTTCGGTCACAGGGAGTAGGTGGATCCTATGCAGACTTGAAAAACTTATAGCTTGGGTGAGAATGAATTTCAAGCCGGCTAAATTGAGGTCATTTGTTATGAAGAAGGGAAAAGTAGCAGATAATTCCCATTTCACGATATCGAGAACAACCAACCACATGTTGACAGAGAAACCAGTGAAAAATTTTAACAGCACATTAAGCAGTGCTGCATTATATGGCACCTCAAATGCATTACAACTCTTCTTTAAAGGTTTGATGTAGGAATTTGTGGTCTCTCAGACAAGAGAATTCCTACAATATAGGGACTCTAAGGACCTAAAAGTGATGGCAGCAGGCATCAAGGTCTACACTGGAGGGAAATGGAGTGCAGGGAGTGAACTAAGTATAGCAGACTCTCATAGGGACAGTGACAACAGGTCATACTGGCCTAGACTTCTTTCCTGGTACCTGAATTGAAAAAACCAGGGGAAAGCAGAAACATCAACTAATTCAGGAGGTAGTCCATGCTGATGTTATGGAAAAAAGAATAAGCAAGATGGTAGGACTCAACCAGAACCCTGATGGCTTAGTCCTAGGCAATTAATTTCATCAAGGCCAGCATAAACCATTAACTTGCATGCTCTCTTCCACCCAAGACTGGCAATTGAAAGTAGACCTCAGGAGTCAGTTGAAATTACTAGAGCATATAGCAACATCTTCCTTAAGCCTGGATTTAATAATCTGGTTAATTGTCTCCAGGCAAGTTGTAATGCTCAAACTTACGTTACCTTGGGAAGAGAATTTGGAAGAGGCCTTTGAAAGAAAGCTTGAAATATACCAGGAGCTGGTAGAGAAATGCAGGTCTAATCAATGTTGGACTACCTGTCTTGAAGTTGAATGTCATGGCTTTGCAGGAAGATATTTATGCAGGACCATAAGTCAACTTGGATTGAGGGGAGTAAAAAAGAGAAAGCCCATTAGAACAATTTCAGAATCTGAAGAAAAAGCTTCAAAATGGTTATGGGGTAAAAGATCAAATCCATGGAGTTCTACATCAGAGATCAGAGGATGTTGAGGTACTGTTTGAGTTTGAAAGGAGAAAGAAAAAATGAGATAAAGACAGAAATATAAAAAGAGGTGAGCCAGGTCACTGGTTGAGGGGAGGGCCATTTTTTATTTTCTTCCTTGACAAAGTTTTGGTTTTCCCTGTGCATGCAGAATTTTTAGCTGTCCCACAAGATGAATCATTTCTGATCATAATTCCTACCATCAGCAAATGAATACGACTGTTTTTTTTTTTTTTTTTTTTTTAGTGAAAGATTTAGTTTCATGAGGTATAAAAACTTTCCCAACAATAAGTAGAAATTTCTTGCCTGTAATCTCAAGCTGTGTACATTGTGAGCATGTATCCTTCCATGTGTTGGACCTAAGAGGGAAAAGATGATCATTCAGTTTTTCTCCTTTTGTCTCATCATGGCTGAGAGAGAAATGACTTAAGTTGTTTCTTATTAGTCACTTTCTATTTCAAAATCAGCAATTGCATTATTGTGTACTTGGTGGGAATTTTCTTCAGGATCACCTGTCAGAATAGGTATTATTCTGGTAGGGTCACTTGGGAAACAGGTATGATGTTGAAAGACCCAAAACTTGTTATGCCCTAATGACATCACTGATGAGATGATCCTGCACACCTGTTGAGGTGTATCATAACATTATATATATATAGATAGATAGGTTATGATTCCACATTCAGCACTGAAAATAATTTTTTTTACCTATTCTCTCAGTCAGATTATCTTTTCCCTCTTAGGTCCAACACGTGGAAGGATACATGCTCACAATGTACACAGTTTGAGATTACAGGCAAGAAATTTCTACTTATTGTTGGGAAAGTTTTTATACCTCATGAAACTAAATCTTTCACTAAAAGAAAATAATTGTTAATATTCTCAGTGGCAGTTGATTTTACTAATCTTCTCATTGTTAAAAGTTAATGGAATAATTCTTTTTTATCAAAAGAGATTTTATACATGGTTAATATGTTGAATGTAATGTTTAATACTGGAAATCTTAGATAGAAAATGTCAGTTTTCTTTCATGAGAGAAACATTTTGCAAATGAGTAAAAGTAAATTAGGATATTGTTTTGAAAATATTCCCACTTTGTTTTGTGCAATATTTCATTCAAGCTATTTCAACAGGTTATTTTTCAAAAGGTAGTATAATTAGCTGGATTTTAACAAAGGCTCATTTGCTCCTTGTTATTTGAATGTTTTCTTTCCAATCTTAAAAATATAATAATACTATTTTGATTATAAGGGAATGTAAACTACTATATTGCTCAGGAAAAAGGAACATTTTGGTTTCAGGAGATTAACTAAAATCATAATTAAGTATCAATACTTGTACCTTGTTATTTGAACATTTGCCTTTTGATTGTGAGCCACCCTTAGCCAGCACCACAAGAGAGAACACAACATAAACTGAATGAAATATGTTAAACATGTTCCAAAAAATTTGTTTGTTGAATTTGTATTGTTAATGTTTTATTGAACTGTATGTCTGATAATCACTGATAATATTTAACAGATATAAAATATTTATACAAATTTTATTATCAATACAAAAATATAAATTTTGACTATCTTAAGGCTTCTATTGAAAAATAAACATATACATAATGTTTATTTTTTATCAAATTGATTTTGAGACAGGTTAATTATTCTTTGTTGAAAACATCAATTAATTTTTTGCCTTTTTCTTTGTTTTCTGTAGAGAAAAGTTATTTAAACAAAGCCTAGCTAAGCTACGTGAGGAAGTCATCAAAGCCAATACTTTAGTTCGAGAAGCCAATGACCTTGCCCAAGAGATGCACAAAAAGACAGAGTTCCATGTCACTCTGCAAATTCCAGCAGCTAACTTAAGCCCAAATAGACGTGTAAGTATCAAACACTTTATCAGTACTTGAATTTGTGTTTTATGATCTCATGCTTTAACTTGTAAACCACCAAAAGAAGCTGAAACTGTGATACTTAATGAGCTATGGAGATACGCTTATAAAAAAGTGAAAAACAATATATTTTCTTTTCAGTCTTTGTTTTGTAATCAATTTACTTGTACCTCTTCTTATCAGACTTTGAATATAATTTTTACAAAACAGTCCTCAAGCTTTTTTGAAAGCTGTTATGTCTTACTCTGAATTATTCTCTAGTTTATCATGTTTTACACATACTTGGAAACTTTCATATGCAACAAAATATTAAAATTCTTTTTTCAATAATAGAAATAATGATTTCAACTATGTTCTTAGCCCATTTTAATTGAATCTCAGATAAAGCTAAAAATCTCTGCCATATTTCTTGCCTTCCTAAAGTAATTTAAGAAGATTATAGAAACTGTTAATTACTTTCTCTAGGCAACAATCACTGGCAGATTTCAGACTCCTACTTATTTTTAGATTTTGATTGCAGCCACCACAAAACCTTTTTACATTTTGTTCTTTTTCTTTCATAATGGAAGTATTTTTCCAGCATATTTTATGTTTAAGAATTTTATCTGCATATAGGCACATATATTTTAACATGTTTGTATTTATGTATGTGTCTCTCTGTGTGCATATATATATATATATATATATATATATAAAATGAACATAAGTCAACATGAACAGTGATAGTCTGTTTCATGCTTGAATGCAATCTTCAAAGCCATGTGTGTTGTGCTTGGATTGACTATTTATATATGCTGAGTAATGCATTAGAAACTTTGTCTGGAGAGAAAATAGCTATAATTATCTTCCCAGACAAACACAAATTACTAAATCAACTATCAGGAATTATCTCAAAATGCAGTCAAGAAAATAAATTTTTATTGCATTACTTAAAAACTGCAAACTAAAAAAAAATACCTTGTCAAATACCACCATGAAAAATGCAAATATATACACTATAAACAATTATGATAATATTACGTACTTTAGACAAAGCCAATACTTTAAACTAAACACAAACAATGCTGGTTGTGTTTAGATAGAAAACACATGTCTCTTGGTATATTTATCCAATTATTGCAGACTCAAATGCAAGTCTGCATAATAAGAATAATAAAGTAACAACAAAAAGGTATACATAGACAATAATAAAAGATTGTTGCATGTGACAAAATAATAAATATGAAAGAAGAAAACATTTAAACTAGTGAAGGTGTTTGTGTAGAAGTAAGTCCCAGAGAAAAGTAAATGAAAATAAAGTGAAAAGGTGCTGACGTGTGTGTTTTGGAATTCAGTGGGGGAATGTGTTTGAGGCGAATAGAAAAAACAGTAACCAGCGAGTAAATTCAAGCTCTCCCAACTGGTATTTCAAACTTGAGTCGTTCCTTCCTGAGTTCTGTCTCCAAATCACACTAACTGCCCGTTCTAGCCGTCAACCGTGAACGTCCCTCGAAGAACTTCAACGACTTGGAAAAAAGTAGTTGTTTTATAGTTGTTCATGTACCCATAATCCCTTGCGTCTTCCTGTGATCCCATAATTCATTGCGTCCATGTCCCATAATGCATTGCGTCCATGTCCCATAATGCATTGCATCGTTATTGGATAAAAATGCGATGCCAGTCCCCCTCATTCTTTTATGTTATCTGGCGAGGATGGATTACGTCAGAGCGGTAAGTGCTTTTTTTTCTCTCCCTCATTTCAACTGCAGTAGCTTTACATGCTAAGCAAATACGGGCTCTTTTTGGCGGGGACAAGGCAAGTCGCGACCAGTTGTGCTCGTCCCAGGTTCTGTCTCATGTCCGCCACACCCCCCTGATCTCCGGATCACACAGATGACAGTGAGGATACGGTCTTTTGTTCAGGTGCTCCTCCGAAGGGGGATTGGTTGAATTTCTTCATCAGAGGAGCTCTCATTAGACACGTCCCGATCTATTGGCAAACTACCGCTATCGGAGTGATTGGTTGTTGAATCCAACTCTATGTATATTGGCTGTTCACTATCCTCCGTGTCTTCTTCGTCAGTTGTGGGATTTTTAGAAAAAAAGGGCGCAGGTCTCTAACATGACCCGAGGCGTTCCATCGACCCGCACTGACTGCTGACTCACCACCTCGGTCACCGTCCGGTTCCAAATTTGGTCGTGCATTTACCACGTGGAGTCTTAACCCAGACAATGTCCCCTTCCTTGTATTCCCCTTGATTTATTTGTGATTCAGGCGGGGGCGTCGGCGTCGATGCCTCTCACCCGGACGTGGTATGTGTGCAGTACATCAGCGGTGCCGTGGAAGGTGAAAGGTTGTCCTTAGGGGTGACGTTATGCCAGTAAACCGCTTCAAGACTGAACAATTTTTCCTGGCCGCTATGGTTTTTGGCGGCTTCTGTGGTTGCGTTCCACAATGCCATTTCAGAAAAATCACGTAAAGCGCACCGGAACCTCAAATGCACGCCCCAGCTGTTTACAAATTCCCTAAATTGTCTGCAAGTGAGCGTGGTGTCATTGTCAGTCAGTATTTCATCGGCGGGCCTCGTTAAAGAAGACTGTCTCTAGCTGACGAATGACACCAGCAGAGTCTTGCCCGTCTCAGTGGCCGCCATACTGCAAAACGGGGGGGACCACAGTCAATGAGCGTAAGAAAATGGCTACCATTGCAATGGGTTACGTCCATTGCTAACCTGCTCCAGTTTTTTCTCACACTCAAATTTCCTTTCTTCCAATGCACTGGTGCTGGATCGATCGATTGGCAGGCTTCACAGGTTCTAACGACAGATTTTACCAGTTCCTTAGACACCGTTGGATCTACAGTCCTAGCAAAGTACATTGTTCTTTTAACACCTGGGTGCCCACTCTGCTGGTGGATGTGGGTCACCTGACGTTTGTTCAACTGGCTCGTTGCAGTGACACAACTCACTTGCACCGGTTCTCCTCCTTTCTTGTGCATCTCCAACCAGCGTTGCGGCACTCTGGTGAGGCTGTCAGCGCGGTTCTGACAAGATTTCACCAACGTCACAGTCATAGTCAGTGCGTTGTAATCCTCCACCAAAGCTTCGCAGTGTCTCTAAGCGCCGCCTCATCAGCATTTCACCCGCTGCCTTAAAATGTTCACGCGGCGTCCTTCCTGTCAGGGTGTCAGACACCCACCGATGCACACATGCTGAATCGGTGACCACATGCATAACTGGTGCCTGCCACTGCAGGGGCAAGATTCACGCCCTTGATCACCGCATCAAGCTCAGCAAAAGATTAATGTGTTTGGCATCATTGGTTGGGCGCAACCAGCAAGCATCTTCCACGGCTCCCATTCACCTCTAGTGCTACTCCCGTGGCCACGCAGACTTGCATCCACCCAAACTGTCATTTCATTGCCGTTCACACACCAGTCTCCGCCGACAGGATCTGATTCCCGCACTCTGGCCACTGTTTCCTCCAGCATACGTCCAAGAGGGCATCCTTTATCTCGTCGTCCCATCCTTTGGTTAGTGTGCTTGCATAACGCTTAATAAATGCAGTTGCCACCCTAAGCCAACCGCACACAGGGAAATGACCCACAAGTTTCCCGCACAAGGAAAATACACGTCAAGCGGTCACCTTTTGAGCAATTTCTGAACTTGACCTCCCTTCCATCGAAGGGAGTTGCTTTCTTCCCAGACTTGCAGACCCAGGACCTTAGTTCCGTCTCTCAATCGCTCGGATCTTTACAGACTAGCCGTAATCTGCAAAGTGCTGTCTTACACGCTGCAGAAACTAGGCCTTCATTTATGAAGATATGTTCGACGTATGCCGACGTGGCACTCTTAATGTCCTGATCCTGGGGCGTTATCATGTCGATCACTGACTTCATGACAAGAGGTGCCACATTCAGGCCAAAACCAAAACGCTTAAAACCAAAAACGCTTGCCCTTAATGACCACTGTTTGAAACGGCCATAGCGATTTGTCAATGTGAATCTGTAGGTACGCATTTCTCAAATCCAACAGCGTCGTCAGCTCCTTGTCGCCGCCATTCTCGTAATTTCTGCGCACACCTCTCGTCAGCCGTGAATGCGTCTACAAAGCCGTTCAACTCCCGATAGTCAAGTACCGGTCGGACCTTCTGTTTGTGTTCTTGTACGACCGCCATTAAGGGAATTAATCCTTTGGGTGGGCCAAGCTCTTTCTCAGGATATGGCAGTAGCCATCCGTCTTTATGCCACCGTGCTAGTTCTTCATCGTATGCATCCCGGACGTGGCCAGGTACTGTGTACTCCTGTACTTTATTGACCAACTTGCTGGGTGAATGACCACTCGCCCACTTCCACAATGCAGTCCACGTTTTTGTGCTTTCGGGTTAAAATCATCACTCTAAAGTCAGGCTTGTTGATAACAATGGCGGCACATGTGTTCAGGTTTCGAACGAGCTTCGCCTGATTCCGGTCAAGTAAACACCTCCGAGCACTTTGATTGCATCAATCCCGACAAGAAGATCGAATCCTAGCAACTGCCCTTCCACGACCAGAACCTCAACAGTCAATGGGCTGAATATGCTCGACGCCCAACAATTTTACCGTATCCACGGCACTTCAGGGTCTTCCGTCGGCAGTCAACACTCCCCACCTCTTCCTGCTTCCAGCAGCGACACACAGTCTTGCTCACCAGAGTCTGTGAGCATCCCGAATCCACTAGAGCTGTGCACTCTACTCCATCTACAAATACTTATGCGGTGGGTAGCTTCGGGTTTTTACTTGTTCGGGAGAAGGCTGGCGCTGACGCCTTCTCCCCTTGGGCGTTTCCCTGGCATTCTGAGGAAATGTGTCCGATGCCGTTGCATCGAAAAACACCGCTTAATTTGACCAGACCTCTGCGTTCTGTTTGACCTCTCCTGACGTCCTTGTGTACAATTCTTAGCCATATGGTTGGGTCCAGAGCACTTGTAGCAAGTAATCGTTCTGCTAACAGGTTTGGCAGGGGAACCTC